ACTTGTGGAAAGCGAGGAGGGATGGTACTCTATAATGAACTGAGAACTGAGACGGGATGGTCCACGGGCTCTTAGAGACCAATACACTCATCTTCCTAAAACATTTTAAAAGAAACATGAAGCAAGAGAACATGAGGCAATTAAACATCAGCTCTTCTTGAGAACCGAGTTCATTTATTCTTACAAACAGGAAAACTGAATTCTAGGTGAACAGAACTCTGTAAGGAATTACTAAATTCCTGCATCCAAACCCGTCCTGTCACTACCTCATTCCTCCCAAAGGGCCTTGGGCTCTGGTGTTGCTTGAAATACATGCTCAGATCTATCTAGAGTCACTACATTTATATCTTCGGGTTGTCCTTTATGGCAGTCATGATGGTCCACTGGTTCTATTGACTCAAACCCAGACGCCAAGGTCAGGGGTAGGAACTCAGGTTAATAAATGTCAGTATCCTTTGGTCACAGACTGCACCTCGAATATTTGTCATCTTTCTTGCAAATCCCTCCCATTGGTCATAGGAAATGCCACCCAAAGGTATATAATTAACAGAGCTCAGATTCATTAATAATAAAGGTGAGGCTGATTGTAGGGCTATTAGTAATAGATCAAGGCAAATTGCCATAGGTCACCAGAGAGGGAATGGTGGGTTATCAGTAAGTATCATGATACAGCCAGCCTAGGAGGGCTGGGAGGGACAAGACCTAATCAGCTATAGCAAGTTATGCACCTTCTCTGAGCCTGAGTTTCTTCATCTTCAAAATGTGCTCATTGGACTGGATTAACATTTGCCAAATGTTAGTGTATTTTAAGGAGCAGTAGTTCCATGGGATATCAATAGGCCTTATGCTTGGGGAAAAGATTTAGTTTCAAAACTTTTGGCAAATGCTGGATTAAGGCAAGCGAAATAGGTTTCTTTATTGTGGGACTTCCCAAAAGCCTTACCATGCTGCATGTTTGGTCTCTGAGAGGGATAAAGCATGCCATTTTTTTTTTTTTTTTTTTTTTTTTTTTAAAAAGTTTTTTTTAAAACCTGGCACGCCAAGAACACCAAGGGACTATAATTCATCACGAATACCATTCTCGATGGTCTGTAACATTTTATCTATGAGGGAGGGAGGCTTCATATGAAATTTTGGTATGGGTAAAAAAAAAATGACTAAGAGAAAGGTAAATTGTTTAACTCGTTTGGGCCCTAGCCATACACAAGGTTGGAGTTTGTGGAGTGAGCCACCAACTTGCTCACCTATAATTTGGAGGGTATCCCATGCACCTGCAGCCTGCAAGTCTCAAGGTTGGAAAATCAGCTTGATTGGGTCATTGACAGAAGCCCCTCCCTGGTGACTTACACACTGATACTGGTTCCTCATAAGTAAGCATTCAACAGCGACCCATTGCTTAGATTACCACCTGGCAGAAGGCCAGGATCCAGCACTCACTCTTTCCCCCCAAGCCCCATGTGGCCACAGGAAACCTCCTCCTACCAGGAAAAAAAAAAAGATGCATTTTCCCAGGTTGTCAAAGGCATGTTATAAACCTTGCAGAGGTTCTATTGAAGGCTTATCATTTTCTCCCATTAGTGATATAATGACTTTCAAAATTAGTTTACAGATGCTTATAGTTCCTGAATATTCCATTTTAATTCCTACTTGAGAATGAATAAATTGGAAATTCCTTTCTTAAGGAAAGTCAAAGAGACTATTCCAATTTACTATTAAATGCCGTTAAATGCCATTCAAACTGTTTTAATATTAATGTTGAAAATTTTTTTCAGGACTGTTAAGTTACTAGAATGTTTGTAACATCATATTTTCTTCCCAACAGCGTATTATTAGAAGTATCACTCCAGAAAAACCAAGAGAAACTCCCTGTGGGGACATCCACTTGAATGCCGCATAAGACGCTTCAGGGAGAGGAAAGTAGCTTCCCAGCAACCTCTGCCCCCAGTTCTGACAAGTCCCACCTCATCTCCTCCCTCTAAGTGAATGAGTTTCCAGCTCAGCCTGACAATGGAAGGGCCTTCTTCACAGAGACTCAGCCCCAAAAGACTGTGGTACCCAGACGCTTACGGCCTCCAGCCACTTGTTGCTGTGAGGTCTCCTGGACAGATTACCACGTTAGACTCTGTGATGCAGCTGAACTGGACTATCTTGGATGCATGAGGGTGTGTATGGAGGTGATGAGAACCACCATGTACCAGTTAGGGTTAGGACTAGAATCAAGTCTGTGAATGTCTCCTGTATCATTTGTTGTTATGATCATTAGTATTGTGGGGGGATAGTAAGAAGCTAGGGAAATTCCTTGACAAGTGGAATAAGGGAAACTGAGACAATTAAACAAGGCCAAACAATTTGAGCAATTTACAGCCAGCTAATGAATCACACGGTTTTATCTTCCCTAACCAAGGACACTTAGGAGCAAACTGTTTACACATTCCAGACTGTCCCAGAACAGAGCAGTCTCAGTCCCTCTTCGATGACGTTCTTTAAAAATAAAAGCAACCAGAAAATGACCCTGACCCCTCTATAGGAACATTTTGACAAATCAACATATTCAAGGACACATGTGGAAAGCTAATGAATATTCTGTTAAGACCTTCCCCTGAGACCTCCCCAAGGAGTCCCACCTGCCAAAGATAAAAAGCCTCAAGACAAAGGACCTACTGTGCACTCTCGCTAGTGCACAGCCATGCCTTTATCTCTGCTGTCTTTCTCCTAAACTCTAAGGGTCCCCACAAGACTTGCGACCAGGAGGGCAACGGGCAATGGCAGCTCATCCCAGGCTAATCCCCTGAACCTGTCTCCAAGGCCCCCTTTTCTCTGACTTTACAGTGAGCTAATGGCAGCCCCACCTTGGCTCTCCTATTTTACTGTGACTTCTATTTCTCAGTGAGCCAAAGCAGTCCTGCCTAGGCTCTCTCCTGTTGTTTCTTCCACCAAAGCCCTTCCTTTGCTGCACTGTCCCAGCTTTAATAAACAGATTCTCAAAATCGCCTGGACTCATATTGTGAAATCTTTCCTGCACGGAGTCAAGAACCCACATACTACTGGCTGGCAGCACCCACTCCACGCCTAGACCCTGTCTGGTAACAGTATCTGACCCTTGTTTTCTTCTAAAGTTGTCACTGTTCACGGATGCATAGACCATGTAGGAGAAAACAGGAATGCTGTCTTGCTAGCCATATATTTTCTGAAGAGCACAGAATTCTATAGCTGGATCCACTAGAGCCCTGTAATCCATGTGTTGCTGGGGAGTCAGGAGAGGAAGACATAAGGAACTAAACTGAAAAGTAACTTGTACATGTGACCATGTATGTCTGTGTGTATTGTGTTTCAGGATATCCTTACTTACCTTTATTCCAATATTTTGTGCCCATTACAAACTATATGAATTTCCTCTAAGTTTTCTTACATTAACAAGTTCCACCTACTCAACTGTGGATGTATGTTATTTGAAGAGTATAATTGCTACAACATGCTCGGCCTCCTTTTCCTTTCCCAGTGACACTACTTGAGCTCACACACTCTTTTTTATGGGCCAGACTTTAGCATTTGCTGAACTTTATTGCCATCTTTATCAAAATCTTAAAGGGAATAAAGCCTAATCAATGATAAAACAACTCAATTATCTAGCTCCATATCACTTCAGTCCTATATGTAAATCAAATTTAATTCTAATCACCTATGGAAAGAATATCCATATAGCAGAGGCTTGGTTTTATCCGTTTATAGTTCTTCTTCCTTATCTGGGAACAAGGCCTGGAAATGAGAATGGGGTAGATCTGACTACAGAAAAGTAATAGGAGGTTGAGTAGTGATCCAGGTGAGGGCCAAGGCTGGAGTAAGAGCAGGGCAAAGGTGGCAATCTTACAAAGGAGAATCTTGTTGGCAGATTGGCTCAGAGGACAAAAGAGAAGGAGGTGAAGATGACATATAGGCCAGGAATTTTCTATCCTGATTATAGGCTATTGTAATGTTCTTGCCGACCAGGGACTTAGACTGATACAATGAGGAAAGGCTGTTTTCTTCCAAGTTATTCTCCTAATATACAGAGGATTTACTCCAGGCTAATTTGACGTAAAGAATACTGAGTTTACTGAATAGATAAAATAGGGAACTGATTTGTGTCACAGCAAGTGAAAGCTTAAGATCTAAAGAGCCTTTTCCCATTGTTTAAGTCACAGAGCTGTTCTCTTCTTCCTTCTTTCTCCCTTCCTTCCCCCCAAATTCCCCCGAAGGAGAACAGACAGACTGCTACCAGCATCTGCCACACTTCCTTTTCTCTCTCTGCCTTTCCATGGCCTCTTCTGTTACTTTTCCCCACTGGTTTAGCCTTCTCCTTCTGGGCCCCTAACTGGCACTGGCCAGTTAACCAAGCTGCATCTGACAAACAGCCAGCTCCTGCGACTTTGGCTCACATGCATCAGAAAGCTGCCAGGGCCACTGTACCTGCAGGATACACACGTGCCCATCCCCACCCCACCCCAAGTAGGGCCAGCACAAGAGAGGAAAGAGAGTGAATGATGGTTTGGGGGTTAAGGCTCAGGAGTCAGGAAGATGAATGGCCTCTGGTAAGTTATGTCACCTTTCTGAGGTTCAGGCTTCAGATCATAATATGGGAAATGATAATAACACTCCCTCATAGAGCTGTGAGGCTGACTATCATGGGAGTAGGTTATGGTTAGAACCATACTGCATAGTACCAATGCTACACCCTGTCTACTTTCTTTGGCAGTTTGCTAAACCAGACCTGGCAAGGGAAAAGCCATCAGCAGGTGGATGGCAGGACAGAGAGGGTAAACAATAGCTGATCTCCCAGTTCCAGTGAGGACTCAGATTACTTCCACAGCTCTGTGTTAGGCCACACACCTAGCCCCGCTTTGGGAAGCAATCTAGTGTGGACAATCAGAGCTTTCTCTTCTGGAAATGGAGAGTGCTTCCACTGGTGGAATCCAACTTATGTGCACACGGACCAGTGTCCAGGTGCCAAGAAGGAGCCTGAGCTCTCCTTGAATCCCCTTTCCTATACTTGATGAGAAACTGAGGTCAGGGAGACTAAGTGATTCCTCATGGTCATGGTTAAGTTGGTGTTTTAATGCCAGCACAGGGCCCTCTACTGAGTCACGATCTCTTGTGCAATGATAAAGCCCTCTGATTGGCAGCTTAGACTATGGAAACAGGTGTAATGACATACTTACCTATGACACAGCATGGGCCATCAACGTAACTGAGCACAAAGAGTATTCCATGTACATCATTTGTACATTCCTGGGCACAAAGAACATTCCATGTACATTCCATGTACATTCCTTTTATAAGTGCTGGCTAAGACTCAGTGTCCTCAAGACTATGGAAACAGTCTTAAATCCCAGCTCTTCCACTGATGAGTAGCATAACTTTGGGCTCTATAAATCAGTTTCTTCACCTGTAAAATGAATGTCATCATAATACACAAACATAAAAGCATTCAATAAGCATGTTGTTGTTTGTTATCATTAATAGATGCAAGGAAAAGAGCCCAAGAGAAATCAGGGCTGGTCTTAATCCCAAGCTTCAGTATTATCTGTCTTCTTGTTCTCAAGACATCATCTCACAGAGCTAACTGAGATTTAGGCAGTCTGTTCTGGCTTTGGACCATAATTCTAGTCCATATCTTCTTTCATTTGTTTTTGTTAAATATTTAATAGCTACAGTAGGTACCTATATACCCACCACTCAAGAAATAGGACACTGGCATTGCCATTGAAGCCCTGTGTGCCCCTTCACTCCAATCCCACTCCTTGGTAACCATTCTCCCGAATTTTACATTTATTGTTCCCTGCCTTGGTTTGACTATATCTGTACATGTCATAAATTATGAGTTAGTTTCACATGTCTTTAACCTTAATATAACTGTGATCATGCTATATCTTTTTAACTTGTCTTTATTGCTTAAATTATTTTTGTTGTTTATCCATACTAATGCAATTGTACTTCCCTCATTTTTCACTGTGTAATAGTACTCCATTGCATGAATATGCCACAACTAATCTATTCATTCTCTTGTTGATAGGAAATTGGGTTATTTTATTTTCTATTAGAAATGGTGCTTCACTGACAATTCTTGTGCATGACCTTGATGTACATGGAATACTCTTCGTGCTCAGTTACGTCGATGGCCCATGCTGTGTCATAGGTAAGTATGTCATTACACCTGCTTACATTTTTATCAGCAGTGTATAGGACTTCTCAGTTTCCTTTAAGGTTGGGATTATCCATTTTTCATCTGTTAATCTGGTGATTAATCAATGTCTATGCTCACTGTGCCATGTAGATAGAGACACGGCACAGTGACCATAGATATGTTGTTCTGGCATGATACGTTGTCCTTCATGTGCTGTGGAAACCATGTTTTGTGATCTCATTCCTTTTATGAGTGTTGGCTGAGACTCAGTGTCCTCGGTTTCCATGCTTGCACTGACCTCCGTGAGAAACTGGTTACACCTGCTGAATGGTTGGGACAGCCTGGAACATTGTGGCTGTCACGCTACACACCACATGGGGCAAAGTGTCCAGTCTGAAAAAGTAGACTCTCATTCTTATCATGTCAGACTAAATACAGTAAAAAGAAGAAAGACAAGTGGCTGTAAAAAGAAAAAGCAGAAGTGTAACTCTTGCCCCCAGTCTTTTTCTCTGGGGAAAATAAGAAGTTACCAGCCCAGGTGCTGAACAGAGTTTTGGTTGAGAGAAAAATCAAGTGGCCGATGAGTGTACTTTACCATCATTTAGAAGGAACAAGCTGATTATCATCATTTCATTCAGTGAAGTTTGGTTTTCCTGATCCTTGATGACATTACATGTGTAATCATCATCCTAGACTACTGGTTTCAGTTAGGAACTCTGGGAAGAAGGTGGGAGGAGGTTTGGAGCTCCCTCAGGACACACTGCAAGAATATTGAGCTGTTTGTTTGGGGAAAATAAATGATTGCAGGCGACACGTGCTCTCATGTTTCTTATGAAGATTGTCTGCCCTCTTGCCGGACTAGCCAATTCTGTGGCTTGGCCAAGCAGAAGGGCCCTACCCTTCAATAGCTCTGAGGACTCAGCTCCTAAACATCTGGTCGAACTAGAAATTCAGATGTAGTACATGAATGTGAATAATGAAGATGTACCTGGAGAAATACAGAACCTCTGTACAAAGGTGAGGCACAGGAGGGAAGAAATCCATCTACTGCTTCCACCTCTGCCATTGCTACTGCTCTAGCACCCCCACCCCTGCCTTCCTCCTTTGTCTCTTCCTCCTCTATTTTGGGTCTGTAACAGGATAATTA